CATTCAACTAACACTCCATTTCTGCACTACGACTGAAATGGACGTTCGCTTCACACATCCAGTTTGCAGCCATTCTACGTGTTTTCTAGATGTCCGTTCTTTAGTATAAAGGACCTTATAACACCAAGAGTTCACGCACCCGAGACAGAGACCCTGCCCAAGAGGTGCTACAGTGGTGCACATCCAGCACGATGCTGGGGAGGGCTCGCCGTACGACCTCACTCAACCGGTGGGCCAGATCGCAGAGCCTGTTGCACCCGTAGCTGGGGAGGAGGTCATTGTGAAGAAGGCGCCCAACTGCATGGTTGAGCCTTTAAGGACTGTAGGATCTGATGCTTTAGGCATACGTTCATGCTCTTACTGTCTCTGCAGAACGAACGTACTGGCAGCATGTAGCTGTACTTCCTGCTATGCTGTCGTGTTCGCCGTTGTTGCTACTCCTGTCTTCGCTGCAGTAGCAGGATGGTGGTAGTAGTTGTGGTACTGCTGCTGTTTGCTGTTGCTGTTGCTGCTGGTGCTGGTGCTGCTGGGTCTTGTGCTGGCAGCGGCAGTCGCAGTGGTGGCGGTGGAGGTGGCGGTTCTGGGTGGCGCTGCTGTCGCGGATGCTATCGGTGGGTCGCGCCGTGCTGCTGTCGTCATTCTTGATTGTGGTTCCACTACCAGCGCTTTGATTCCTTTGAGGTGCCCAACTCCTTCCATGACACGACTCTCCATCAGTATCTCCAGGACAAGGGCGTCAAGTCCCTGGTGCTATGCGGCTTCATGGCTCACATGTGCGTAAACTCTACGGCCCGTGGTGCGTTCAACCTTGGCTACGCTTCCACTGTGGTGGCGAGCGCAACGGCAACACGTTCCCTAGCAGATCCTATCACCGGTGAGCCTGTAGAGGCAGCCTTGCTGAAGAAGAGCGCGCTGACAGCCATCTCCGACGTTTTCGCTGTCATTGTGCCTACGGCTGACAAGCTGCCGTAGGTTGCTGCCTCTTGTTGAGCTTCTCCCCTTTTAGTTGTCAGTTTTCAACGATCTTCGTCCAGATTAGCGTCATTAGATCGCTGGCTATCAGAAAGACCCTGCCTGGCCCTAACTGCTGAGTACACTGCACATTGGCGGCGTTTGCAGTGACACATCTCCAATCATCCTCTAAGCCGATGCGCGAGCACAGTTCACAGCTAAAGGACCCGCATGTCCTCCTTTCAATGTTTCTAGGAGCAGCCGACGTACAGAACGCATACCGCCGTTATGTTCCAAAAACAATAGCGGATCTTCCCACAGAGCCGTGACTAGGTTTTGCCTTTTAGGGTTGCGACACAGAACAGAAACCACGAATCTGTAAATGCAACAGGGAAAAGAGCCTGCAAGGCCAAAGCAGAGCCTTAAATTAAATCAAGGCGAGAAGTTCAACAAATAGACTGGTGCAGGCCATCCCACACCGCCACCAGACACCTCGAAGTGAACGGAGTCTATGAAAAGTTCTGTGAATCGGCACTCCTCGCAAGATCTTCTCTCAGATCCCAGGTTTCACTGTCAAAATCTGGTCTTGCCCCAGAAAGCCCAGTTACATTCGATCGTGCACAGACGCAGAGTATGGGGAGGACCAGGCGCCCCGCGTCCTGAGCCTGGCAGAGACGGTCAAGTCCATCTATAGGGCGCAGCACGCAGGGAACTCATTGGGGCTGGCTCTACATGTTGAGGGTTCTTGAGCTTTGCTGTGTGTTTTCGCAGCTTGGGTGTCTCTTGCTTGTGACAACAATCTCAAGCTTTTTTGCTGTTCCGCAGATATTTCAGGTCCTGGGTCGGTCTGTTGACCGGAGCACCGCTGTCTTTGTTCATATATGCCATGAGCCCGAAGCCCCACCCTAACCACCTCGCGCCTGAACCCAGAAACTGTGTTCCTCTATGTGCCTGGCTTCGCCGATTGCACTCACATAGAGGACATCGTTACGGCTTCTTGAAGAGATGGACGATGCATGACTTCAACGTCAAGTCTTCAGACTTATGACTTATGTTTCCCATGAATGCCCGAGGCCCTGCCCACAGCTCCTCGGAGGGTTTCGAAGCCAAAGAGCCAAGCAACCTCGAAGCTTGTTTTCCATGTTGATGCAGAACAGTTCAGACCACAAATTACGACAAGCCCTCGAGCCAAAGGCCCTAGACCCCGAATCCCAAGAGCCCGGGCCCCACAAAAGTTGAAAAGGATGACAATCAAGCAACTCAAGCCCGTGAGCATGAAGCCGAAGTAGCCCGACAGGATACTTGCCTTGTTTTAAGCAGCAGGCAGTGCCACAGGGTCGCATCGTCTTCAGACCTCTTGAGTGGAGTTGGCGTTACATGTCACGATTCGACAACTCGCGCCAGAGCAGCTCATCAAACGCGAAAGGGATGGACGTATTTTGAGTGCATCCCCGGATGAGACCCTAAACCTGTAAATCCTGAAGCGTGAAACATTGATGTCGGCTCTTATGCGTCAATTTCGTTGAAGTATTGTCTCGGACTGATAATGTACAAAAAGCATAGAGGCCCGCATCGCTAGCCTGTTCCCCGTGGACCGACCGACCACACAAGTCGGCATGAAGCCTGGAACCTTCAAAACGCATGCTGCCCAACATCAGCTTTTAAGTACAGCAGTGAACTGTTGAAGCCTTCACACCCTGCTGAAGGTCTCAACCACACAGCGCCACGAGATGCAACCCCAAGCCTTCAATCCTTCAATCCAGCCTTTACCCTCAACCAAACATACAAGCCCTCAGACCAAACCCTTAGCGCTGCAAGTATTCAAAAGCCTGAATAATTTGTGAAATCATGCCTATCATTCCTGATGTGGTTCTACCAGAACAAAACTCGTAACCCTTAAAGTTCCTCTAGAATAAACCCTTGACCCTTAAAGAAGCTCCAGTCACAACCCCGAAAAAGTAAGCCTGAGCTTCTCAAGGTCTCCGGAAAAATCCGCTGCTCCCCCGGCGGCTTTGGAGGCTCCGTGTTTTAGTTTCAGGGGGTGGGGCTAAGAGTTTGTAAGGGTTTTCAACGAGTTGAGTTTTGATCCGTCAAAAAGCCGCTGCAAGGTTCGGTGGGTTTATATTGCAGCTTGCAAGGCCTGATGAAATCTTTTGGAGCTGTAAGTGACCAGTTACAACATGTCTGATTGTTCTGTGATTCCACATGTTTTGGGCTTTCCTGACATTCTGGTCTTTCTTAATGGTTTTGACTTTTGTTTAGGGGTTTCGGTTGCACGAGGAACACAACAGGAACACATCACACCAGGCGCATACATCAGGCACCCCCGACACACCCGGCCCACCCACAGACCAGGCACACCGGCACAACCCCCAGGCGCCGCCCAGGCACACTGCAGTGGCACACCCCACGCACACTCCAGGCACAAATAGACACACTTTAGGCACACTTCAGGCACACTGCATGCACACAACAAACACACCCAAAGTTTTGGCATCAGTAGATTTAGGGTTCAGGATTTGCCTGCTTTTTCAATCCCGCAGGCATCACGAAATCACGAACTGAGGGTTCAGGACACTGTTGGTTGGGGAGGACTGCTTCAAGCATTCTGAACTTCTTCGTGTTTCCAGATTTTGCGTGTTGGTGTTCCAGAGAATGACAATATTGGCATTGAGGGATACGCCTTGAGCTTGTAAAGGCAGAGTCTCAAATAGCCGAGACTGTAAGTTACCGCAGATGCGGGCAGTCGACGTTTTGTGATGTCTGGGTGTTGGCTTTAGATGCAGATCTGGAACCCTCAATCCTCAAACCAGAAGCTGCGCTCACTGAAGCTAAGGTGATCCTTTAGTGGGAGCTTCAAAGCACTGCTTCTGCCAGCACCTGAAGCAGTGAGGCTTCATGAACGCCACAAGCGATCGGTAGATCCCCGTGTAAGCATCAAACAACATGAGATCATGAGTACGACCATAGAGCCATTTATATACTTTCATTATTGGAGAAAACAAATCATATACAACATAATACTTCGATCTATAGAAGATAGAGGTAGACTAGCATATATACGCTAACATTATTATTAAATATAAATAAAAGATTGAGATCCTGAATTTCTAAATATACAAGATTATCAAAGAAAATGCTTTCTGATTACCTGCGATTTTCTCAATGATTTTTTCAATATGGGTATGAATTATTATTTAATAAAATACCATCGTTCTGTTTGTGTCTACGATTCTACGCGCGGCCTTGGTCTCTTATAATTTGGACTTCTGACGCTCTCGCGGTATTAAAAGTCTAGAAATTTGATAGTTAGAAGAAATTTCGTAGGAATAAGATTCCTGGGATTTTGGTTTCGTTGGGCTCTAGTGCCGTGGTTCTTATCTATGAACAGGTTTCTATTTGAATTAAAATTGATGATCTTCGAATTATGAGCTAGGATTCTTCGAATTATGAGCTAGGATTTAATGATTGTAGGATATGAAATTAATATATAATTTATTTATAATATTAAATAATTCCATGGAATTCTTTATAATTTTGATTTTTTCGAATATTCTTTAAATAATTTATTTAATTTTTATAGTTTCTTAAGAAATTTCTAATAATATTGATTTATATATAATAGTACCGCTAAATGAAAATATAATTATATTATTTATTATAGAAAATATGTATTTCAAATTTCTTATTTTATATATTTCTCTTATTTTCTTTTTTTTCTTCTTCATACTTAAATTTTAGATTATAATTTATAAGGAGATTTATATTTTCGATTTGAGATCTTAGAAGATTAGAAAATAGATTTTGAGATCTAGATCTTCGAATATTTCTCTTTTTTTTCTTCTCTATTATACTCTAGATCTTTAATATGGACCCTCAAATCTTGTGATTGATTCTCTAATTTTATCGAGCTAGAGACTTTAGGTTCTTCTAAATCTTTCTCATTTTTAGATTTCTTCTAAATATTTTGAATTTGTGAATTTATTTTTTTTAAATTTTGTGAGATCCTAAGAATCTTCTCATGATTTTAAATTCTTACTGCTGGGGTCGGGATCTTAGCGTCTTAATTATTTCTAATTTCTGGTTCTTAGAGTCCCTTCTAGTTTGGGTTCTTCAATTTTGGAGAATTTCTTAAGAGCTTTTAATCTTTTAAGATTAGAAATCTTAGATTCTTCTGATGCCTTCATATTTATAAATCTGAGACCTTCAAATTTTAAGAATCTTCAGAATCTTCTCATTATAAGAATTTCTTTTCTTTTAATTATATGATCTTAAATTCCTGCTTCTGAAATTTGAATCCTAGGGTCCTAATAGATTTTGAAATTATCCTAAAAATAATTTGAAAAATTTTCAATCTATTTATATCAAGCTTCGTCCATAATCTAAATAAAATTATATGAGATCTGGGATCCCAGCCGAACCTCAATTATTATAATTTCATCAGATCTGAAATATATCCGAATCAGAATTGAATCATAGCCTTATGACTGTCGAATTACGATTCCGAGAAATGACCATTCCACGAGCTTATTTCAGTTTCTGAGAAATCGCCGATCCATATTTTATAGATTCTGAGAATTCCACGATCTATATATTTCAAATTTTGATATATCGTCGATTCATCTATTTCAGAATCCTAGGTCCTAGCCACTAGTCCTAATCGAATGCCAACCAAATTTTAATTCTATCAAATATAGACTGCGCCATCTCCGTCGCCGATTCACGACTCTCTATCCCTGATGTTGTATACGGCTCCACCATTTTGCCGATATATCAATTCGTTGTGCAAGCCTTTGCCGCTGCCACGATAATTCGCCCAACGTCGCCGTCTCCGCTACCGAACGCCACCCTGCCGTCGTAGTCTGTATCATTGAAGTTGCAGAGACGTGGCTCTACCGCCGCTTTGGTGCCGTAAATAACTGGGGGCAATCTCTATATAGGGGTTTCCGAAAATAGGGGACCCTAAGATAATACCCTAAATAATAGGACCCTTATTATAAGGACCCCAAAATAAAGTACCCGTATTTTCGGAAACTCCCATATGGGTCCCATATGATGTCCTTGGATAGAAACCCCGTCCTAGTTACCAACTCTGCCGAGTCCCGGCTCTACTACTACCTTTACCACTACCGTCTTCATTTACTATCAGAATAATTCGCCGACGCTACCACCACTACCGATCACCGACATTGCACAAGCCTATTTTGACTTTGCCGCTAGAGATTTTCCCGAAGACCGATTCTACTACCATCTACTACCACGATACCTCCAAACGAATATCACCAAAGAGAATATGAATTGCAGAGAATAAGAATAAATACCAAAGTCTTGAATATATAAGAAGAATAATTCTAATTTATATATCTATAATATAAATATATATATATATAAATAATCACAATAATCAAAATTATAATTAATAAATAAAAATTTAATATCCGAGAATTAAGCCCTAAATTAAAATTTAACTTGAAATTTAGCTCAATGAAATTTAATTAAAATCACCGATCTTCAATATCAAAAATATTTCTAAATAAAATCGATATCAATTTAATAATAATTTCAATAAAATATAGAAATTTACACAATACAATGAATATAATAATATCAACTTTTCATATATGAAATTATATAGATTTCTCAAATTATTTGAATTTTCGAATAATTTCATGATTTGGTTGCTATCTAAAATCAAAAAATATATAAATATATAACTATATTTCTCCGACTATTTTCAGATGACGATCAAACTAATAAAGATTAAGAATAGACTCGTTGTTTGAAATAACGCCGTTCATTACCTGCAATCTAGATTTCCTCCTATCTCTCTCGAAATAACACAAAAGACTTTCAACATGTAGAAGTTCGAAAACATCTTTACAAATTTGTGGTTCAAGTATGAAATACTTTATCTTAAGCTTTTCCAAAATTTATAGAAACCGTGATTACTGATATGAGAATACCTCTTGCCCATCTTGCTGAAACCCTGAAATCTCAACAAGCATTACACGCGTTTTCCGAGCGCTCAATGATTTCAAGAGTCGACACACAACTATTGACTTAAAGAGTCGAGCCTGTCTGTCCACCATTGCGTTCCACTTTGGGGCGTTCAGGTTTTGGGGCCTAAGGGTGTATGGTCTGATGACTCAATCCTGACAAGCTTGTTCCCTGTAGTGCTTAGTCTTCCACATCCCGCCGCCGCAGGACAGACGCAGGCAAGGGCCGTCTCCCTTGTAAACCCTAAGACATTATACAAATTCAGAATCTTTCACGCCCCAAGCCCGGAAGCCCAAGTAAGGCAGGTCTTGCCGTGAGTGCTATCTCGAGGATTGAAACGCGGTGAGCGACAGGGCCGCCTTCAATCGGCATGTGCGTCCTGCCAGGGCAAAACCGCACATGAATCTGGGGCCCTGGAAAGTGTGAAGTCTTAAACCATCGTGCGATGAGACACCAAATCCTCTATGGCTGGGTGCAAAAAGTTCCAAGCTCACGGCAGCTAAGGGTTGGATTGCACATTCAAGCGAGGGTTTGGTGCTGAAGCGGGCCTCGCATCAAAACGCAGCAACTTGAGCAATCCCAAACGAAAAGACCTGGAATTGGTTTTGGCGTCGTAGGTTGCGGAGCACTGTGGCATCAGCCTGTTGAAAGAGTCGTGATGCAAAGTCTCTGCAAAATGACAGCACTACAGAATCTCTTCCAAGAATACCGTAGATTCAGAGACAGTCCAGCCCTGGATCATCGATTCCGCCTTGGGGCCTTGGGCACGAGCCTTGCGATAAACACCTTTATGAAGTTAAAACCTTTGAAAGAAACACCGGAGGCTGGTCCCGGTCGCGATTCCGATGCCTCAGGAAAGGCAAGGCTTCGGATTTTTGACCTGCCGATGCCAAAGAACCCTGCCCTACATGCACAAGGCGTTGAGCTGCAAGAACAAGGGCTTCCTGAGAGCTTGGATGTTGACACAGACTTCTTCGCAAGTGCAGCTGGAACTTGGCACTCCAAGTCACGAAAGTTTACAGTCGAGCGGTGAGATTGCAGTTCCGAGTTTTGACTTTTGAGCACAGGCGACTGAACCTTCATGGACCGATATACGAAGAGACTGCGAGGACAAACACAGATACCTATCTTCTCCGCCGGTTTTTTGTGCTTCGCTGACGTGGCAGCCGCAATGTGAGGAAGAACAATAAACTACCAACAAAGTATGCATAGCAGTTACTCCAAACCTGAATCACTAAAGGCTTGAAGCAAACCCCACAAAACTGCTGCTAAGCACGCGGCTTCCGCTTTTCGCGTGGCTCGCCGTTCACAATCTCCTCGAACCACGGGACCTGAACGGGTGAGGACTTAGGGATCCAAGACTTTGGACAAACAATCATAGGGTTTAGGGTTTAGCCCTAAACCCTAAACCCTAAACCCAAAACCCTAAACCCTAAACCCTAAACCCTTCCTACAACCCCAAAGCCTCGACCCTGAATCTCGCAACCTTTGGCTGAGAGCGAGCGAGCCTGGTAGCCGTGATCCCGGTTCCGGTCCACAAGGCGTCGGACCACCCAGCCCTCGTCCTGACCGGCAAGGGGTTTAGGGTTTAGGGTTTAGGGTTTAGGGAAGGCATTTGAGAAACCTTCGGTTTTGCTGGGGTAACCGAAAACACGTGAACCTTTGTGCTCCTTAAAGCCCAACTTTCCAATCCCTGATCCAGGATCCCGAATCGCTACCTAATGCTGATTTCAAGATCAGGAACGATACACATGAAGGCTTGGGGCGTCGTTTGCGGACATGTTGCAACTATGCAAGTCTTGCACCCTCGAAACTAAATCCTGAGTATAAGCCATGTAAGAGAAAGACTTATAGACACACTCAGTGCTAATCCAGGTCTTCCAACTAGGATTCCATCTTTGTTTCTGTACCCTGAGCTCTTCACCCCAAGTCCTGAAATCATGAAATCTCAAGCTTCAGCCCTGAACCCTGGACCGTGCGGACCCCGGCATTCCAAAGAGGCTCACGGACCTGCTCGATTCTGATGGGCATCACCATGTAACCTCTCACCTTCTTGGAGTGACCGACCTTTCACGGAAGGGGGTGCTCTTTCCGCTTCAGAGTTTGGCTCGCCAAGCGTTTGACAAGCTGCTCGTCTATAGTATTGGGCTTGTTTCGAGTATATGTCCCCATGCTAGTGCCCAGGCAAGCCTCGCGCTTCAAAACGATGCCTCAGTTCTGGGTAGGAGTGCCGATCAAAATGCGTTGTCGCAGCATACAAGTCTTCAGGGTTTACAGTGTCTACGAAATCGAAAGTATCTTGTCCCGAAACATCGTTCCTGTGTGTAAAGCGATGCTGCTGCCAGCTTTCTTTGATAGACTTCGGAGCAGGACTTCACACAATAGCGACTTTAGTAAGTCCGAATAGTTTGAAGGCTGAGGAGTCGAGCCTTTAGGTTCTTTAGGTTTAGGGATTTGAGCTTATACACTGCTTGCACTCGAAAGCATCATCATTTCGACGAAGGCATCGATATGCGGAACGCATCACAAGCGTACGAGAAACACTACTTTCGGCAAACAGGATCACTATGTTGGTGCTGCCACCTGTTGAACTTCTGGAACACAGCAGAGCTTCAGAACAAGCCTTCCGCCCCAACATGACTTGTCTGTTTGGCATCGAAAACTCTTCTCTTTAGTGAGCGCTTCAAGAGTCTTTGATCATGAACGATTGGGACCTCCCAAAGAACCCCAAGCCTCCGGCTTCTCGCTACAGTACACCCTAAGCCTGAGGCCCTAGTTCAGCAATCTGCCTCAACTCGAACACCCCGAAAAGCTCACGCCCTCACTGTCTAATTTAGGGGACTGTATGACTAAAATAAGGCTTTGGGGTATGTTCGAGTATAGCTCCAATGAGCACTATAGGAGGATGCTACTACTCATCATTCAGTTTTCAATATATTACCTGTGAACCGTCAGGATCCTTTCCCAACCACGATTTCGAATAGCATTGATTGTGTCTGGGGGGTGTCTTAATGGTAGTGGACACCGTATTTGGAGGGGCCTCCTTATCATCATAAAGGATCCATGTAGGGTGTCCGCCGAGTTTTTGAAGATCATCTCCAAGTTTGACACCTATTACAAGAGGAAGTGCGTGGTTGAGAACGAGCCTCACCTCATTAAGTTCTTACCGAGCCACCAAAACGTAAAGCCCGAGTCGTAATATGTTCATTGTGGTGATGGCGAGAAACATGATGACTATGGCCCGAATGCTTCTCATCACCGCGAGGGCAACGCATGCTTCCCAAATCAAGCCGCAAGAAATACAGGAAAAGATCTTCAGTGAAGAGTGGTAAGCGCAGGGAGCCGTTGCTGAAGCCCAAAGCGGGCCTGATACACCACGTCCCCATTTCCCAGATGCCTGCCCGAGCTGGGATGTGGCGCTAGGTCTCCGAGCCCTCAGGACCAAGTAAATTTAATTCGTCCACTGCCCGAAAGACACTCAGACCGAACCTCTACATCAACGCTTCTGAACTCCGAACGTGCAGATCCAGAAGTCTGAAAATCGTTTAGCTTGACCTCCCAAGCTCCAATTGCGCATTGAAGAGGAAGAGTATAATCCAGGCTTTCTGGCATCAGAGTTTAAGCTTCCAGCTCTTAGCGGCCACCTTCTGCTTCAGAGCCCCCACGGAGCCAAGCAGCCCTGAATGATGACCCTGCTCATCCCTGCCACCGTGACCAGAATGATAATGTAAGTGCAAAACACAACACTGTAAACCTTTGAATCCTTCCACCTTGTTTCTCCCAACCCGACTTCCCAGCGAATCGTAAAGGCGAAAGCCCTTTATCTGGTAGAACGCTTAGATGTAACTTTTTTTGGCTTCGATGTGACTTTCCAGTTCTTGAACCCCAGGCCCTGAATCTGAGTCCTCAGCCCTAAGACTCCCAAAGGCCTCACCAGCATCTCTGGGGGGACGACTTTGCCCGAGCCGGGTGCGAACCTCTGCCGAGCCAGAGGTCAGGGTTATACAGGCTGTAGGGTTTACTTAACGTCCAGGAGAGCAAGCGGTTTTTCGGGTCGACTAAAGGGCTTGGGAGTGGCAGCAAATAAGGGGTACCTACTGTCACCTACACATTTCAAGAGTCCCGTTGAGAAAAAGCGCGGACCTGACTCCAAGACACTCCCGGCTTCCTTCGAGGCCGAGGTTTCAAGCTTCAGGTTTGGGCTTCGGGATCCACTTTGAGACTTCAGTTTGGAGGGATTTGGGATAATCCAAGATGGAGTCTCCAGGGTGCATATGCCGGACTCAAGTTGGTTCTGCAAAAGATACCTTCGACCTCCTGAAGACGGTACTTGCCCGCATCACAAGGAAATGAAATCTGAAGTTGCATGCTGGCTTGGTGATGTATTACAATGCATAGAACCCAACAAATAGATGCAAGAAAAACAGAAATAGACAACACACAAACAATTAAAGAACTATGTACACCTATATATGTGGTATAAGATACAGGATACAATGCATAACATACAAAGGTGGAAACTACGGGCCTTCGACTCTTGGTGGCTGAGAGAATAGAATAAGAATCGCGTGCGTCCTCGGTTCGGGGCAGTGTGCCTTCACCGAAGGGCTGACGGTCAATGTAGCAGCCCGAACAATTATCAGTGTTGTTCCGTCGACTTCCTGATTATTTGACGATACGATAATGTACACCAAAACCCTTGAAAATGAAAAGCCCCTAGATGAGTCCATTCAAAGCTGAGCACCCAAGGCCATGGCTTGGAAGCTGAAGCCCCGAGTTCTGAACGCTTAGGGTCCCATGGAACGGAGGAGGGCTTGAGGTTTTTTTGGAGGGGTCCTAAGGAAAAGTCTTGCAGATGAGTTCGATGTCCCAATGAAGCTCGAGGGCACTCTCCGAGATGACCCTGACGAGAGAGACTCCAGAAACAGGTGGTAGAAGCCGGAATAACCAATAATGAGATTCCTGAAGAAAAACCCAAAACTCTAGTGCTGTTCACTGAGGTATGACGGTCGATATGTTATGCAACTCTGAGCGCGCAGGCGGCTCCGGCTTATTCACAACGACGAGATCCTTTGGATCCTGTTGGGTGAGGGATTTTTTCAGTTCTGTGGGGGTGGAGGCTAGTGGCCGTTTTTGTGCAGCATTGTGCCGTCTAGTGCGATCCGTCTGGTAGGGATTTAAGGTTCTCTAGCTGTTGACATTCGTCTTCGGTGCCAGCTCCTTGGGCTTTAGGGTGTCAGGGCTGTCAAGCCTCGCGGAGGCTTAAGGGGTGATGTGCGTATGCATGCGCATAGTAGATAAATATAGATGCGTGTATGTATTTATATATATATATACATACGTATGTGCATATGTATACATATGTAAATTTTTATGTGCTTGTAATATCTAGTTACACACATGCGAAGACAGTTTATGTTGACTTGGCCTTCGAATGCTTTTGGGATTTGTGGTTTTTGGATTTGGGACTTGAATAGTTCGAGAATCTAGGGGTGGCATGCTTCTCTGGCATCAAAGTTATCATGCAGCAGGTTTTGCAACAGGAACGGGGTTCAGGTTTCGAGGTCTGTGCAGTTGGTTACGAGTCTTGCGAGCCTGTGCTCTACACACGGGCATCGGTCTAGATGATGCGACTTGACGGTAATTCTATAAATTAAGACTTTGCTCGCCTGCTGCGAATCTAGCTACCATCAGCCAGAACGCGTAGAGAATCTCAGCCCTCATCATTTTCTGCCTGTGAAATCAAGCCTCGCTTAGGCTTCTACCTTGGTGTTGATGCGTGGCTTGATTTTTTTGGTCTGGTTTGGGGTGCTGGGTTTGGTGTGGCCAGTTTTGCTTTAGGGTTTAGGCAGCGCTTTTCCTAAGACCCAAGCTCTCCCAAAGCCACGGCCTGCAGATTCATCACACGCCAGGTGCGGTTGGAGTCCCATGCACCTTGGAATTGCGCGAGATCTTTGGGTCTGAGGGTTGGGCTTGAGGGTGAGGGGCTCGGGTCCGGGGGTTGGTCAATTCAAACTGCAAGCGCAGGCCTTAAAGGCTTCGGGTTTCCGGCTGGCTGAGCCTTGAGGATTTCGCATGAAAAGCAAAGAGTTTCTCCCAGCCAGAAAGGATGAAAGCCGCCTGGGTGTACCTTCTCAATACCTTGGCAATGCACTGCTGGGTTGGGTTCTCCAACTTAGCGAGCCCGGACCCTGAACCTCTAAGCCCCAACAACACTGCACCTTGCTGGCTCTGGAAAGGTTCAAAATCTTCCACAAGACGAACAACAAGCCTTCTGAGAACTATTGCGGCTTACAGCCATAGCTATAGTCCAAAGCTCCCCTCTTGTCGCTTGTCATCGCCACCAAACCACGGCAAAAGGTCAGGCTCCATTCGTAGAACTGGTCGCAGCTAGGATACTATAGATATATAAGCATCTATGACGAGACGCTACTTCTAAACCTTCCGTAAGCCCCTAGTATTTTGGAGCATAGTATACAACAAAAGTATAAGGGACCCCAAAGGAATAAAACTTTTGAGAACATTTTTCGCTAAGCCCAGACTCCTTAGAGTGAAAGCCGTCGAAAGCCCTTATGGAGGCCTCGTAGAACCCTTCTTACGTAGTCTTGCGAATCATTCCCTAAACCTCTTAGTCATACTGCACTTTACCCTTGAAACCGAGTACTGCTTATTCCGCAAGCCCTGGACCTTAAAATCCCTAAACTTAAACCCCTGAATCCCTAAAGCAAGCCAGGGCAGAGACCATCCTCGGCTCCAGCCTGCTCTGGATTCTCTGCCTGCCATGGAGGCTTCCCGTTTTCGGGAGTATGGGAATAAGGTTTAATGTGTTTAAGGCTTGGGGAAAATGGGGTCCGGGGCATGCAGCTTTGGGTTTACAAGTGAGAACACAAGTAGCTGGCTCGCTTCCAAAGATGCAAGATGTCGAACAAAACGCATAAACGAGTCCAACACAGGAAACGACTATCCCCGCACACGCAGGACCTGAAGACCAAAACCATGGAACCTGAACCCACGACGCGCTGCAATTGCGCGTTCCAGAAAGGGTGGGATCCTGGTAAGATAGTAGGTTGCAGCAAGCTTCTTCATCAAGACGAACCCTTCATTCACGGCATCCCTGTTTGAAGAACCACGAAGACCGTCAACAGACGCAAACCTGATATAGCCTACAACCCCAAGAAGAACAAACAGCAAACCCTCATAGAACCCGCATTACAACCCAAAGAATAGAATGCCCTTTAGAAGCCCAGTGAGACCCCTCCTAAAGCTTTTGAAACCCTAGATTTCAGGGCTGGCCTTTGTGGGCTTCTGGGAGGTGTCGTGCGGATCCAAGGGCTCGAAAAACCTCGGCCCACCCTGGCGGCAGGCGTGTTTTGAGCAAATTTTCTGTAGGATGCTGTCAGGATTTCAGGGTTGAATACATTGCTGCTTGGTGTGTGTGTGTGTGTGTGTGTGTGTCTCAGCGACCGGGGGAGCATGCACAGAGCTCCGCGCCTGCATGCCGGCTCCATATGTCGTTTATGAGGATGAGAGCAAGCACATACCCGAAGATGTTCTGGAACCATCGCTAGCACGTGGACCAAGATAATACACACTCATGAACTTCTAAGACCAATCCTAAGCCCTAAACTCATCCTGAATCTAAACCGCCAAACTTAGGCCACATCTCAAGAAGTGCTGACTTTCTTGTGGGAACCGGCCTGGCCTGAGATGTGGCATCGCAGGTAACCCAACCTTTGTTGTCGGTCGACTTTTGAGTTTCAAAGGTCAGGATTTGGGGTGTAGGGTTAGGGAGTGTAAGGCTGTTCTTTTGATTTTCTGGTTTAGGGAGTCAAGGCTTAATTAAAATTTGGGCTTTCGGCTGTCTCCGTGCTCTGTTGGTGTTTGGAATATTCAGGGCTTTCCAGCTCCTCGGAGCTTCAAGGATTTAAGACCTGGAGTGTCTCCCATGCAGCCCAATCCGACAATCCGAAAGCACTCATCACTGTGACGCCCGCTTGCGGCTAATCGGCTTCTTCTTTTCTTCCTGACACCTGTAAGGGCTTGAAAGATTGGATTCAAACCCAGCGAAGGTCTCATGCAAATTACTGAAGCTCCTGCAAACCCCGCTGCAGCCTGCAACAGCCCTGTAAACCTACAAACACACGGGTCCAGAAAGTCTGCGGCCACAGACCTTGGCGCATTCTCGACGACGTGGAGGGCTGACCAGGGATCGTGCGTGGCAGTTTCCGCTTGCAATTCTGGGAACTTGTGTTGCCTCCACGTAGCCAACAGCACCGAAGCCCCAACGCCCTTGATCCGAAACCCTTCAAACTGTTGAACCACGGGCCTCGCATCAAGCCTTACTGCTAATCCTGTTGTAAGACGCGCGACAATGATTGCCGTGATGCCGATGCAGATAGTTGTGGCGGCCATGATCCGGAGGATGATTCCCATCGTCGTTGTTGGTCCACTACTACTGTTGCTCTGTTGTACCTTGCTGTTGTTGCTGTGATCATTACGACATCTGTGCCCAAATGCAGTTTTTGGCCCGACCTCTCTGCTCGATGTGTCTAAGAAGGAGATGTTCATCCGGACGATGCCATCCTGGAAGCGCTGTCTTCGCTCTCTTGGTTTACTAAGCCCATCATAAAGCATGAGCATTTCTCCGAATGCTACAATTCCCAACAACCGAAGCCACCAGTGCAAAAGCCGCGAAGTCCGGTAAACCCAGGACCCCGCAAGCCTGTGGGTCAGCTGTGCTGAGGCTTGGGCCTTGGATCCCAACTCAGCTGCATCCCGGAAACCGTAGAATCACAGGGTGCGGGATACTATTCTTATCTGTTATTCATTATTCTAAATGATGAGTAACTATTGCTAACGGGATACGACTCTTGATTATTATTCATTATTCTAAAGTGTTAACAAGGGTGACTTGTGAGAACCAGTGCTTCCCTTCCTGGGTGATGAAACGAAACCTGCGACAAAGCATCCGTATTTGCATTGTCCGAAATCCCAGACACTGAATCTTATGGTAAACCCTGAGCCCGGAACCCAAACATAGGGAATTCGAAGGAACACAGTTACTTAGCTACTCCCACCCCTAAGCATAAACCCCTTGCAGAAGTCTTTAAAGAAAGTCAAAACAAAAGAGTCCCTACGGAAATCTTACGCCTGAAACCCTAAACCCTCGCGCAACGAAGTCCTCTGTTTCCTCCAAAGGAGCTGCCTTCCACCGACTAGGGTTAAGTAGATTCTAAATAATGGGTATGCGGGTTTTTGCTCACGGCGTCAACCGTG